CCTCAACTCCCCCCTCCCCAAAAATTTCGGAGTTTTTTTCAATTCTGGGGATCCCAAACTCCCTAAATCTTCCCAAATCCCCCCTAAAAAGATTCAAGACCTCCCCCAAAAAGATTCAGGACCCCCTCCCATAAAATCTCGGGGCCACCCCCAGACCCATTCCTAATTTCCCTCCCCCCTCCCCAAAAACCTGGATTTTTTTTTCAATTCTGGGGGCCCCAAATCCCCCAAATTCCCCCCAGATTCCCTTCAACCCCCCCCAGAAAGATTCAGGAACCTCCCCCCCCCCTCCCCCTCGGGACCCCCACCTCATATTCCAGCTCCTCGGGGCGCTCGGGCTCCCCCAAATCCGTGGGATCGAAATAATCCTGGGGGAGGGGGGGCCTGGGGGGCCCCAAAAAATGTTGGGGGGGCGATCACAGAGTGGGGGGAGGGGTCCCCCAAAAGTTTGGGGGGGTTTAAATGGTGGGGGGAGCTCAAAAAAGGTCCTTGAAGGGCTTTGGGGGACACTGGAGGGTGGAACACCCCAGAAATGGGTCTGGGGGGGTCCCCAAGGATTTCGGGGGGGAGTCCAAGGCCCAAGGGGGGGTCCCCAAGGAGTTCGGAGGGGGATCTGGGGGCTCCCCAAGGATTTGGGGGGGGGGGGGTCTTGGGGAGGGTCCAAGGGACAAGGACGGGGTCCCCAGGGATTTGGGGAGGGTCTGGGGGCTCCCCAAGGATCTGGGGGGGGTCTCCAGGGATCTGGGGGTGCCCGGGGTCCCCCCCACCCCCCCGTGCCCCCCCACTCACGGCTCGGCCCCCCCCAGGCGGCTCTCGAAGCTGATGTCGGTCTGGGTGCCGCTGTCCACCAGCCCCCCCACAATGATGGGTGGGGGTCCCGGGCCGCCCCCTCCTCCCCCCCATGTTGGGGGTGTGGGGGTGGGGGGGATGATCCCCCCCAAACCGGGCTGAGGCGGGGGGCGACCCCCCCGGGGGCTCCTCCTCAGCACCTGCAGCACCAGCGGCTCCTTGGAGCCCCCCCGGGGACCCCCCC